AGATAATGAAGGACACTGACAGATGTATAGATGGGAGGGCTTCATTCTCTCTTTAAAGATTTTCTGGTCCCACCAGTAATATGGGAATAGCCAGGAGGCAATGGGACAGGAATGGGCATGAGTAGGCCATGAGAGACCCAAATCCTATGTGTTGCCTCCTTTCCCCTCACAGATGATTCCTCCTGGGCCCATTCACCTTTATTGTAGTTAAGGAACTGTACAGTCATCTTGGGGAACTGTAGAGAGATGGGCTGAATCACTGTTGCATTGGAACATGTCCATGTTGGAATACAGCTATGTTGAAAGACTTCATTTCAGAACAATGTTAGAACACACCATGTTGGAATACACTGTGTTGGAATACATGTGAAAATATAACATGTTTGGACAGTTAGATTGGCTCCTCCATGTTGGAATGCTGTTGTTTTGGCTCGTGTTATATGGAATACCACAGTGTTGGAAGTTGAGTGCCAGTGCAGTCTCTATCACTTCCTGTATGCTTATACTTGAGCAATGAACTTCTCTACCTCATGCCTCAGTTTTCCTATCTGCAACAGGAGTGGATGTGATGAAGTTGTGGTAGTCATCGGTCAACATTTCCTGAGTTCCCTGGGGATGCAGCAGTGAGTCAGCAAAGTCCATGCCCTCGTGGAGCTCAAGATCCAGTGAAGGAGACAGGCACTGGTACCAATGGCTCTGGTCCAGGGTAACACCTGGAAAGAGACACCTGTGGAAGCCCACACAAGAGAATGACTAACCCAATCGTGACAGGTGGCCTTGGATGGTATCCAGTGGAAACTTGTTCTAAGAGGCAATGTTCCAGCCAAGACCAAAGGGAGAAGAGGTGGTCGACAGGGAAATGTGGGGAAAGCATGAAACAAAGGGGAAACCAGGAGCAGAGACTCCAAGGCCATGGAGTATGGAGCAGCTTGGGACACTTGATGCAGTCTCCAAAGCTGGAGCCCAGAATGACAGGCAGGGCTGCTCCAAGCAGTGTGTAGCCAGGGCACTCATGGGCCTTCAAGGCAGGGAAGGAATAAGATGAGTTCCCACCGAGTTGGGTTAGAAGTGTAAAAGGCCAATCAGATTTCAAGCACTCTGTATACCAGGACATGAGGCAAATGGGTCCTTTGATAACTTTCATATTCTAAATATGTACCTTTAATGTCTTGAGCTACACAAAGAAACTGAAAAACTCCTGATTTTGTTTTGTTTCATTTTATCATACCAGGGCTTGAACCCAGGGCGTCATGAATGCTAGGTCAATACTGAACCGCAGAGCTGTGATGCCAACTTCCTTTTTCCTTTTCATTTTAAGATGGGGTCTCATTCTGTGGCCTAGACTGGGCTTGAACTTGCAGTATTCTTGCCTTAGCCTCTGCACTAGCTAGGATGACAGGCCTATCCACCAAACTCAACCGATTGCTGCTGGATCTTTTTAGCTGTTTTCTTTATTTCTTAAATTAACTTTCAAGGAACAAATGAAAATTACATATTCTTATGGGATTTTAATAAATGCACATATACAATATGGAATGGTTAAGCAAAACTACATAACATAGCCATCACTTCAAATCTTTGCAATAAGAACACACAGCACTACTTGATAATGCTGAAGATGGAACTGAGGAACTTGCCCATGCTAGGCATGCTCTCAGTCTCTTAGCCATATCCCAGATGATCACTGGGAGAACCTAGGCAAATGTTCTACCTCTGAGCCATACCCCCAATCCCTCACTAGGGGATTCTGGGCAGATATTCTACATCTGGGCTTCACCTCCAGCCCCTCACTGGGGGATTCTAGGCGGGGCCTCTAACAATAAGCCATGCCCCCAGCCTCTCCATGGGGGATTCTAGGCAGATAGTCTGCCTCTGAGCTGTATTTCCAGCCCCTTGCTGGAGAATTCCAGGAAGAGACTCTACAACTGAGCCATGTCCCAGCCCCTAGTTGCTAATGATCCTCAGTCTCTGGCTGAGGAGTAGGACTTTGTTCCAAGAGGCATGAGGAGTTGGGGCAGATTTGTGAGAAGCAAGGCCAGAGTTAGTCCCAGCAAAGAGCAGGGAGGCCCATCTTGTAACCTGCTGAGTGATCCAGAGAGTGGAGAGTGCTCAGGTGGGGGATGAGCCAGTCTGAATGGGGCCAGCACATGGGAACAGAGAGGAGTGGGCCCCACAGGAGGGAGGCAATGGGACAGGGTTGGATGGCCAGTGGGTTGTGTGAGGGGAACCGACTCTGTGTCAGGGGAAATAGTGGGACACAAGAAGAAGAAACCTAGTGTGAAGTGCCAATTACGTCTCACCAGAGAGATGAGAACTGACAGATACGAGGAGATAGGATCACAATAAGCGCCATGCCCGGCAAATACCAAAGGGCACATTATTCATGTTTGCTGTTGCTGTTGCCTGATGGTTTCCTAGTATGTCCCCATTTTCCCTCTTCATTCCCACACCCTTCCCCAGATCCCTTCACCCTCCACCTTCCTTAAGCCCTTCCCTGGCTGCCCACACTGACCACTGCCTGTTCTTCCCACACATGACTGCATCCTTTCTTCTTCCCTGATTCTTGCTTCTCAGACCCAAGTTCAAAGGCACCTCCCCATAATTCTCCCAATTGATGGCACAACTTTCCAGTGCTCTTGCTTATCTCCCTTGGTGCCGCTCCTGTTCCTGCATGCCAAATTCTCTCTACCTGTGTGTCTCTGTGTATATGCAAAATCTAATCAGTGAGCCTCCATACCCTCCTGCATCTCACTAGCTGGCCCCCAACACCATGCCATACCTTCTCACACCCCAGAAATATACCCGCATACCAAGTGCACACACATTTCTCCAAATAGTACAGGGAAAGAGCCAGCAGAGAAGCAGAATATATGTAGAGTTCAGGGGGCTGGGAGAGAGACACACAGACAGACAGACAGACAGACACGGTGACATGGAGAGAAACAGAGAAATCAAGAGGGACAAAGACAAAAAGAGATGGAGAGAGAGATGAAGGAAAAGTGAGACAGAGAGACAGAGACAAAGCCAGACAAAACCAGAGAAATGGAGAAAGAGACAGACACAGGTAGAAAGAGACATAGGCAGATAGACAGACAGACAGAGAAATGCACAGAAAGAAAGATAGGCAAAAACAAGCACGCAAACACAGAGACAGAGAGTGAAAGAGAGAGGGGGAGAAATAGAGACCTGGAAACAGGCATAGATAGAGAAAGTCTGAGACACAAAAGGACAAGAGAAAAGGAAGAAAAATAACAGAGCAAAGGCTTGAGAGATGCAAATACTAATTGAGATGGAGGCAGACATGGGCAATGGGGTCAGAGAATCTGAAGGTGAGCAGTCCTGGAGGAGAGGGTCCACAGCTCTAAAATATTCAGATCGAGGACTCAACAGGATTGTTAGTCACCCTGGCACAAAGGGGAGTCAGTGAGATAGCCTGCGCCCATCTTCCTGGAAACGAGGTTGAGAAAGGGCTGCTGGGCACCAGGTTTCTGGGGACAGACAATGCCTGATTGTTGGAAGGTTCTTTCTTCACATTGCTCATCCTGCTTCCCAGCCCGGGTTAGGGGCGGGGGACAGCTTAGCGAAACACCCTTTCTCAACAACTGCCGGGCAGCTCCCACTCTCCTGGGGACGTGGAGGTCTTCAGCACCCACAGCCGGACTTACGGGTAGATGAGTCAGCCTGACCCCACTGAACCTGGGCAGCTGGTTCCAGTGCCTCAGAGATACAAACCCAGGAGGAGGTCCTGCAGCCTCCCTCACGGGTATAGGCGGGGTGCTTGTGGAGGCTGGGGCAGCACTGACTAACCTGGGAGCTGGCACTTAGCACTTAAGTTTGATTATGTCCCAAATCCTACAAATTCAAAACTAAGAATGAGCTCCAATCTCTACCTCAGTCCCAAAGGTTTTGGCCTCAACCCTCCTCTTTTGGTCCAGGGGTCCAGGCTCATCCCTCCTCCTCAGACTCAAGAGTCTAGGATCAACACTCCTCCCTCAGACTTGACAAGGCCTCAGCCTAAAACCCAGGAGTCCAGGCCCAGCCCTCCCTCAGATTTAGGGGGTCAAGCCTCAACCCTTCTCCTTCAGACACAGGAGAACAGACTCAGCTCCTCCCTCATGACCCAGGGATCCAGGGTCACTATGGACCACAGCTAGGCACTGCCTTCCCTGTAGATATCTGATCAGGGGTCACCAGGAGCAGAGCCGTGGGGCAGAAGGAATGTATGTGGGAGGCTTGGGTGAAGAAAAGGGTGTGCCTGGCTTCCTCATGCATAAGAGACTAGAGGATAGAGGGGTTAAAAGGAGGCTGGGAGAGCCGGACAGAACCTGCCTCTTTCTGGGAGGCCATAGAGCCAGGCAGGTTTCTTGGAGACAGTCTATTGCTTGGGATCCCGCACCCAACTGTCCCCTACCCTGTGCAACTTGGATCTTAAGGCAACCTCTTCTGTCCTCTCCCTTATCTCTTGGAGCACCCTGCCTTGCTGACTTTTTCTGCCTCTGGCTTCCTGTGATAGGTGGTGTCATTTTTCCCACCTAAGTGCTGGCAGGCACAGCTGCTGGCCATCAACTAGGTAAGACACACTCACAGCAACACCTATGGGTGTGGGGTGAGTGACGTGTAAGGATGCAGTCAAGGTACAGATGCAAAGTCCCACTGAGAGGAAGAATGTCTGTGACCCCTTGGGACTAACCTCTCTGTTAGAAGGAAGGGAGACCGGAGTCAAGAGAGGCAGGGAGGTTGGCTGTGTTTCTTCCCGAGAGTAGCTGGGACCATGAACATGGTCTGCATTCTGTTTTGCATCTGCTCTCAGGGGACCCTCAGATTCAAGGTGTGGTTTGGGAGATGAGGAATCGGGATGTGAGAAGGGTGGAAAAGATAAAAAAAAAAGGGCAGGAGTAGAGGACAGGGAGGATGGAGAGGGTGAGGGAGGAACAGGGTGGGGTCCTAGAGAGCCTAGGACATAACTAATGCAATCATTGGCTCCCCCACTCAAGGTGACCATGAAGACGACGACAATGACGGTGAAGATGCTGGCCCTGTGCTTGGTTCTTGCTAAGTCAGGTGATAAAAGGAACATAGAAGTGAGACAGAGTTGGTAGATGGATGGGCATTGTTGACAGATGGTAGTTTAGGATGGGACTAGGTGGCTTTGAAATGAGGAAGACCCTGGGGGGACTGGCTAAGAACACATCTGGAAGGTGGGTTTGAAGATAAGGATGATATGGCTTTGGGCGTGATGGCACGCGCCAGCACTCTGGAGGTAGAGGAAGGTGGATCTCTGAATTGGAGTTCAGCCTGGTCTACAGAGTTCCAGGATAGCCAGAGCTACACAGAGAAACCCTGTCTCATAAAACAAAGCAACAACAAAACAAAAAGAGAGAGAGAAGAGGATGGAAGTAGAGTGGAGGAAGGAGAGGTAGGATTGGGAGTGAGAATGGGATTCGGGACTGACTTGAGTGAAGTTCATCTCAGAAGGATCTAGGCTCCCTGAGGTCTTCTCTAACTCAAATCCTCCCCCTCTCAGCCTGGACCGAGGAGCAGGATAAAGTGGTACATGGTGTCCCCTGTATGAAGAACTCTCACCCTTTCCAAGCTGCCCTCTACACCTCGGGTCACTTGCTGTGTGGTGGGGTCCTCATTGATCCACAGTGGGTGCTCACAGCTGCCCACTGCAAAAAACCGTGAGTGTCTCTTTCTTTGAGAAGGGGATATAAGGGATCCAGAGGGTGCCTTGCAGACTTCAGGAGGGAGGCAGACCTGAGCTCTTGCCACCCTAGAAGCAGCTTTGTTCAGCCGGGTACCCATAGGTTCCAGGACCCTGGAGGGGGTGGGGGTGTCAGGAATTGCAGACATTCAAGCCACTTACAACAGAACTAGTGCAACACTTGTGTGTAGTCTATGGCTATCCTTGCATGAATTCTAAGTTCTGTCTCCAAAGGGGTTAGGAGTTGGTGCAGGAGTTGGTGGAGAGATTGCCGCTTCCATCCCCAGGATCCCCAGACTGGGTATAGTGGTGTGTCCCTCTAGTCTTAGCGTCTGAGAGGTAAAGTCAAGAGAATCGGAAGCACAGCTGATCCTCAGCTACATGGGAAGCTTGAGGCCAGCTTGGGATAGAAGAGATGCCCTCCAAGAAACAAAAACAGGAGCTGAATCTATAGCTCCGTAGTTAACTTGCTTCCTGATCATTAGGACTGAACTTAGGTTCCAAGCACCCATGTCACAAGCAAGGCAGTCTGCAAATGTCTGTAACTCCAACTTGGATCCAAAGCCCTCTTCAGGCCTCTGTACAGGCACACCAATCAACACACACACACACACACACACACACACACACACACACACA